TCATTTAGATTTTCTTACAAATTTCCGAAAACTTTCATCCGGCTTCCCATAAAAAATACAGAACCCCATGAAGAAGGATTGAACGTTACTAGCAATCGCACAACATCTTGCTGACCTCTGAGTTCCACATCCCTGTGCCTTGAATGAGAATGTGGTGATCCCGACATAGAATTATTCAAGCTTTGTTCAAGGCGGTACGATCCGCTTTGAGCTGTACCGCTGGAGCTGCAAAGCATTTCTCTGATAATCTTTTTCTCAATTCCTCTTTGTCTTCTTTATGTCTTCTGCAAGTTGCATAAACTCACTTTGCTTAGTTTTTTCCGCTTCATCTTCCCTTTGTTCAAACCACTGACAAAACTGAACTCTGCAGTTAGGCAAGCGCTGTTTACGTGAAAAAAATTGACTAATTCTTGCAAAATCTCTCAAAAGTCTTTGAACACCAGCAAACCATAAATTTCAAAATTTTCCCATAGTTGCATATTCGCTAGTTCCATATCAATTTCTACTGCCAAGACGACGGCGACTCATCTGGGATGATGCATGATCCTGCATCAATTTCTACGGCTTAGAAAACTTCCAAAGATTCTGAACTTTGGAGCCTGTCTTTTATAAACTAATATAAAAATCTTTATTAAGATAACAATCGCTAAAAAGGAAACAAAAATTGAAAAACAATAACACAGATCACGCATTGGAAAATGTGAGAGTCATGTAATTCAGCAGTTCTAACAGTCCTATTGGTACATTTGTCACCGGAACAATCTAAACCGAAAACTTCAACGGTTTCTTTACGGAATGGCCAAGAACGACCGCAATATTAGGACTGTCTGAGCAAACGGTTCCTAATAAAGTATCACTATCTAATATAAGTGATACCGAATGTGACTACTATAAGAGATCGTCGTTACGTATTACATGTTTGAAAAGCATAAAATAATAACTCAAATAGAGAAGCGGCCATCGACCACGACTATGGAATATTTCTATGCGATGCTAACGAGATCGATGACTGCCCGTAAAAATTAATTACAGCTCGATTATGACGCATGCACTGAAGTGGAGAGTTAGAACGAGTTCACGTTGAAACTCGAGTTGTGCAACCGGATCCGCGCTTCGGTCAATTACAGATCGGAACAAGAAAGGGTGATTAAAGCTCCTCAAATGGTGATCGTAACTATGAATAGTTTGAAGATACAGTACACAACATTGCACTTGCGAGCACATCATACAAGTTCTCATTGAGCAAAAAGAAGTTAAGATACATACATACACAGTACCTGAAACATGAATGCTTTGAAAATAAGAGAAGATTTTTGCGTGAATTCAAAAAAAGAAACTATGATAAGAGCGAGAGAAGATTTGCAGAAGATCGAAGGCAATATCAGACAAGCAAGCAATGAAAACATGCAAATGGAAATGTTAACTATGAAAGGACATTGGCAGGGCAGATTTCTGTATACCAGCGATAGAGTCCGTAATAAAGCGAGTCATCAGGGAAAATTATGAGACACAGCACAATATGCGCTGCTAGATCGCTATATTGCGAAATGAGCGCATACCACGAGCAGCCATCATCAAACCTTCGTCATCTTCTTCGAGCTCAATTTCTCGACGACGAAGTGGCGGCGGTAAAGTTAAACGCGCTTTCCCATCTGCCGAAACCACCTAAAGGTATGGGTTTGAATGAGAAAGCCAACAATCAAATGTCTTTACAAATAAAAGTTAGTCAAAAAAGAGTGTAACTCCTCGCCTCTTGGGGTGCGCCCATCAGTGACAGCAAAACTGGCAATAGTATCAAGCCATTGATTACTCCAATTACGATCAAAGCTGACATCACAACAAAGAAGTATTTAACGACAAATCTGAAAAGAACGTTATTATCGAATCAATTTGGAAAAAACAATGCGAAAAAGAGCTAAAGAAGAGTCCTCCGGGCAGGGGAGCGGTTAAAGGCACTGTCCGGGCAAAAATTCGATTTTGAGATTTTGTGCTTATCCGGGCCTATTC